TCGCCCTTAAGCCAAAGGCCAGTGGCTTAAGATTACTCTGGATTTGAAAGTTACAGCGTTGGTGCCCTCGCCCTTAATTACCTCATGCCCGGTGTTTCCTGCATCCAGGAGGGATCTGGGGCCTGACTGCCCTCGTTATCTACCAACACGGGCTGGCACATGTCTTGATTTGGACATTGCCCCCACCTTGTAAATCCCAGAAAACCACACATTTGAAATCACAGACATTTTTTTTCCTTTTCTTTCTATTTATTTTCCTTTTGGCTCTTTGGTTTGTTTTGGTTTGAGTTGGTTTTTTTCCTTATTGTTAGTGGTGGCAAAAGAAACAATACCAAGACTCAACAAATGGGATCACATTAAACTAAAAAGCAAAAGAAACAATCAATGGTGAAGAGGCACCTGATAGAATGCAAGTTCACAAAACTTTTATATTTTATTTAAAATTGTATATAAAATTGAAATTATGTGAATTTGAAATACATAGACAAATATTTGATATCCCCAAGCTATTTAATGTATTCATTTATTCTTGGATATTATTTTATATTTTTTAATAATAAAGTTTTATAACTTTCTTCATAAAGTGCTGACATACTTTATTTCACTTATTTCTGAGCAATATTTTGTTGTTCTCCTAAATGTATTTTTTTAAATTACACTTTCTACAAAGACAAAAAGGCATTTTTAAAAACTGTACTTTTGACAGGACCTTTTATATAATCTGGTCCTTACTTACGCTTTCAGTATCTCACACCAGAGAAGCAGTGTGATATCTGCACATGTGAGTCTGATTTGTTTCACTTAACAGTATAGAGGATCAAGGTGCATCAATTTACCCAGAAATGTCTCAAGTATATCCTTCTTCATGGTAGTACTCTATTGTATAAAATCACCATATCCTTTTTATCCATTCCTTGGTCGATAGGCATTTGGGTTGTTTCCAAGATTTGGCTATTACAAACTGTGCTGCTATAAACACGATTGTGCATATATCACTCTGGTATGATGCTTTTAATTCTTCTGGGAAGATACCCAGAAGAGGAATAGTTGGATCAAATGGGATCTCTGATCCTAAGTTTTGTAATAGTGCTAAATTACCTAGTTAGCTCTGGTAGTCTATACAGATTTTCCATGCAGATAATCATCTTTAAGTAATAGCACTTTTGTTTCTTTTTTTCCTTATATATTTTACTTTAAATCCTTATTTTACTGGCAAAGGCTTCTACCATAAAGCTGAAAAGTTGTGACAGTAATCATCATGTCTCTAAGTTTCAAAGAAATGCTTCTAATATTTCACCATTAAATAAGAAGCTTATGGTAAAGGCTTTAATCAATGTTTTATATCAGTCTAATGTTGTTTTTCTCAATTCCCAGGATCTAAAACATGATTTTCACTCAAAGAAAAAAAAACAACAAAACAATGTTTATACAGGAGGTGGTGGTATTAATCATAAATGTTAACTTTTATCATTCCTTACCTAGTTATTGAAACGGTCATGTGTGATAGACACGCTCGCTGTCTAGCACCTCCACTGCGAGATCTAACTCACTCTGAAGAGATGTGCCTGTCTTCAGAATGTTACTGTCACATTAACAGACACACGCCAGATAAGAAATAACACAATTATTTCCATCTTTCAGTTCACAAAGAAAATATGCAGAACATAGATTTTAAGGAGATAATCATAATTTGCCTCATTTAAGCCTATATATTTTTCAAGATAAGGCAGATAGTTAAGAAACCCAAAATATTCTATTTATCATATGTATGTATATAAAATATCTAGGAGACACAGAGCTTGTAAAACCTAACTCTACTTTACCATCTAATCCCCAGTGGCAGACAAGCCTCCCGCCGTCAGCACTATCTTAGAAACACACTCTAATTAACCCAGGGCCGTGGAGTCACAGCTGACCAGGAAGTGCGGCTTCACATCTGAACTGTGACATCCTGCACTTGTGAGACACTCTCCAGTAAGCACCTACACCAGACACACATTCCTCAGGTTCACAAATTAATTCTAGTCGATGGAAAATATCAGAAGTACATCCTCATTTGAAAAGGCTTAATTTTAAAAATTATGAATGTATTTTAAAATTTTTCCTTTATTAATTTTAACTGAAACTAAAGAAGAACCACTGCCAAGTGAAGACCAAATGAAACAAAGAAAAAACACTAAAATTTTATCACTGAGAAAAGAAGCAGTGAAATTACAAAGCCTAGATTTGTGCTCAATTTTTCTGAAATACATCTATTTACTGGATTATCTCTGTATAAGATGTACTTCCCGCCCGGTATGGCGGCACACACGTGTAATCCCAGCACTCAGGAAGCTGAGGCAGAAGAACTGTTGTGAGTTCAAGACCAGACTGGGCTACAAAGTGAGCTCAAGGCCAGCCTGAACTGCATAGAGAGACCCTGTCTCAAAAAGACAACTTCCATAATCAACAAGGCAAAAACATAATACAGATAGAATTTCACTTGAATAAATGAAAGTTTAAGATACCCAGACTAGTTCTACCCCCTCACTTTCCATTCTGCTTTACTTACAGGGACAGAAAGCTTATACAAATATCTTGTGTGAACATGAAACCTGTAAAAGAAAAAGTTTTCACATTTAGCTGCTAAGCTACGTTACTATTCTTTCCAAGTAGGTGCCATTGTACAGTACCTGTAGCAAAAATAAAGAAAGAAACGCAATTTTACTTAATATTCTTAACAAAATTAGATTCGCTCTTCAAATGCATTATGGCCTCTGCGCTTATATATTAAAACTGTTACTACTGGAGCTTATAAAATGCTGGTGCTCAGGACAGGGGTAAACAACGAGCAGCAAGGCCACGTGGGATACATAAAGCCTGGAGGTTCACCAAATGCGTATCACCCATAGGGAGGAGTGATTTTCAGAACTGCTGTACCATACCTCTCATTCTACACACAGAGCCAAACCACAGCTTATTAAAATGTAACAGAGAGCTGCCTACAGTTAATTTCACTAATAACAGTTAATATTCCACTAATATTAACTAAAGCACTACCACTGTATGGTTATTAAAGGTACAGAGACTAAACATTCTCAATTTCTAGTACTGTCCTTCAAAAAAAGCGAAACAGGATTCCTCGGGAAAATGAACGACATTTAGAATTGGATCAGGAAATACACACAATGAGCACCCAGAGTGCCAGGATGTAAAGCAGCGCTTAAAAAAGGCCCACGACGACGACGGAAGTATGTCCCTGGGTTTGGAGTTGGCACAGTCTGTGCAACGAAGTTGTTTTACATTATAACAACTATAAAAATATATCACATAAATGTTCACTAGTCCATAATGAAATAAATGATTGAATTTGTCAAGATATAGATATGAGGACAAAGAAACAAATCTCCCATGGGGAAAAATTCCACAACAATATGCAGATAGTCTACCCTCAAGGAGGTAGAAAATGATTTCACGAGAGTGGCTGGTGCGTAGCAAGTTCTTTCTGAAGAATAAATAGTACACAGTGACACAGGAATAGTATCTCAGAGTGAGCAAACCTAAGACACTGAGTTTTTAAGACTATCTCATCCAAGTGATCAAGGTTAACAGCACAAGTGAGAGATCACGCCGATAGTGCGTACTCTTGATAGAAAGGGATGAAAACAGCACTCTGCCTCTGTGGCTTTCTCCACAAAACAAATGAGCCCAGTTTCATGATGAGTAAAACTCGAGACATTCTAGTGAGTCTGGCCAGTACTCTTCGAAAGTGACTTGAGTCATCAAAAATCAAGTCTGAGAAACGGCCACTACTATTAAGATTGAACACTGCACTAAATGCGTGTTATGCTTCAAGATAATAGCTAATGACCACATAAAGCCACCATAATGAGCACAAGATTGTTATCAAGATTATGAAGATAAACCTTTATAATTTCCAGTAACATTAAAAAGCTTGCTATAATGTAATCTTTTGTAAAATTTCATAAAATAACAAGTATGTAGAAAGACTTTACACATTTTCTTGTATATCTTCTCTTACATTTGCTGGCTTGTTTTGAAAATGAAAAATATATCTTCAACAACAAATTATCTTCTTACAGAAAACAATTTTCAATCAAAATTGTGTAAGTGCAGCCACTGGAGATGCAGACACCTGGTGGACACGGAAGGCACTCTGACACGCTCTCTGCTGTGTGGGTAAGAGCAGACAAAGTAGGAAGCAGACCTGCACCAGACACTGCACCTGCCAGTCTTGGGCTTCCTACTGTCCACAACCAAGAAAATGTTTACTGCTTTAAAAAAAGGAAAAGTTTCTGAAGTAGGATAAAGTTAGCACCACACATGAATTTCATCTTTCCATCATTTATAGTGAGCCGTTATAGAAAAGCGGATGAATCCATAGATGTACTACACAGCACTATGTGGTTACTTTCACACAAACAAGACTTCGAATAAACACAAGAATACTTACAAACTATAATATGTGTAGGAACTATGACACAGTATTATAGTGACTTAGCTCCAGATTTAGATTTCATGGGCCAGAAACACTGGCAATAGAACACATTAGCTATGAGACCTTATGTAAATCTATGTGCTACTATCATTATATGGGAAAGTGACAAAATTGGTGGAAGTGTTACAAGAGGTAATTCCTGTATAGCATTAGAACAATGACTGGTTCACCATAAGTATTCAGTAAATGTCAGCTGTATTACTGGCCACTATTACTGAGAGAAATCATGAAAATCTTTTATGCCACAAACAAAGTCATTAATTACCTTTCGGCAAAGAACTAATTTAAAAGTATCAACTTAGGAATGAATTACTTACTTCTCTTTTACAAATAAGTAAACATTTCAAATCTGTTGTCCTGACCCAGTATGTTTTATAAAGGCTGAAGTCTCTGAGAATATACCATCAATACCTCTTGTTTAATTAAAAGATTATATTGATAGTGTTGGCCACAGATATCTAACATTAAGTACTTCATCAGAACTTTAAAATGGTATACATACCCTCAAATCAGGAGAAAAGTTTTCTGCAGAAGTTGAAATGGAATCTGATGATATAACAGAAGCTGATTTTGTATGCACTGAATTCTCTGAATGAGAAGTAGAGGCACTACAAAATACAAAAACACAGTATGTTTGAAAAATGGGAGCTTTAGCCACCAATTTCAGACGTCTTATTTACAATTGTATTATTTATTAAAACTTCCATTACCAACAAGCACTACATTGTCCATTCAATCTTCTACCCAAATATAAATTATAGAAGAATCCCAATAAATTATTTATATTGATTCATTACGGTTTATATTGATTCATCATCTAGTACATGTATTCTTTAAAATTCTTAATGATTATCAAGTCCAAACTGGGGTATGGAACAGCCTCTGCCTTTAAAACTTCTTCTCAATAAGAAACTTACATCACATAAGCACATCAATAATACTATGAGAGGTACAATCAAGGGATAGAAGAAAAAACTCTCAGGAAATGGTAGTAATTATGGCTAAGGAAACAAAGAAATGTGTTTAGTTGAACCATCTGAAATCGCTGTTTTCATAGGTCAAATAATCAAATATCGACTCTGGACAAAATAAAGGAAAGAAAAGAAACTGAGCTTCAGTCTTTAAAGATTCCCAAGGTTAGACAGAGGCTTTACAAACCACAACTGAATACCAAGGATAGAGAAATAAAAATAAAGAACTTGAGAAATGAGAGGGCATACTTAACTAATGAGCAGTTTATTCAAACTAAACATGAAAAAACAAAAAATACAACCTAATAAATCCTAAATACCAACTTTAGAGCCTTGCTAGTACCAGGATACCACTTCATACCCACTAGGGTGGTCATATGTAATCGAAAACAATTCCAAGTGTTGGCAAAGATGTAGAGGAATTGGAGCACTCCGGCGCTACGGATGGGAATATGAAAAAGGTACAGTCGCTCTAAAAAAGAGGCAGTTCCTCAGCAGATACATCACAGAGCCCCTATGTGACTCAGCAATTCCATTTCCAAACATGCTCAAGAGAAACAGACAGGTCCACGGGGGACAGCGAGAACGTACATAAATGTGTACGAAAATATTCATAGCATCATTATTCTTAATGGCCAAAGAACAGAAAATGACCTACGTCATCCTGCTTAAAGTCCTTCCAAGGCTGCCCACTGTTCTCAGGATAAAGATCAAGCTGCCACATGACGTGGCTACCCTCTGACTTCTTCTCCAGGCTATGTCATCTATATCTTCCCTTGTTTTCCCCTAGTCCAACTGCACAGGTCTTTCAGACCCTTTAAAAAAAAAAAAACTGGCCCTCTGCAGTGAGCATGGTTCTCCCCAAACTCTCAACTTTCTCAACCAAAATACCTCCCCAGGGAAATCCAGCTGGATGTGGTGCCCCAGCAGCCGCTCTCACAGAACACCGTACTTTTCTCTCCTTCCAGTTACCAGTCTGTTTTTATATATCTCAGTAAATGTTTGATTAGTATCTATGTTCCCTAAGATTTCAAAATTCAAGAAAGGAAGAGATGTTGAGAGAAGGATGTTGGTTTTGCTCACAATTCTATTTCTAACAGCCAGGAAGACACTGGGTACAGAGCACACATTCATTTAAGTTTTTGTTGAATGAACGAATGTATGAATGTATGAATGAATGAATGGATGGATGAATAAAAAAAAGAATTATTAAAAGACTGGATTATTCTAATCAAATTCACAACAGGCCATGACTTGAACTTACAAGATAAAATAAAAAAGAAAGTTGATATGAGGAAAGTAGGAGAACAAGTGACACAAAAATAAGAGAAAATAAGCAGGCTTGTTAGCTTTTTGGAGCCCTTCTGTGTGTATTTTATATACCACATTCCCATTACAAGGTTCATTATAACATTGAGATGAACACTTCTTTAAGGTTGCTATGTCGAAAGGGAGTGGCAATCATCAAACAACTGGTGGGAACTGGTTTTTGAAAACCTACTACACTGGAATGGTTAAAGGGAAATAACCAGAATGCAAGAAACCAGGACCTTAGCATCTAGTAGCAGTTTTCTTGGCCAATCCACTTCATCCCCACACCTCAGGACATTTTCACACCCTGAAAAGCACCATTTAGATTATGTTAGTGGTCCTTAAATTTTTGATGGTCATACACCATTCTGAGAATCTCACGAAAGCTATTCCTTGATTGCTTTCAATTGCAGAGACTTTTAAATGTCAGGGACTTTACAATGTTTAAGGTCAAGATGTGTGGCTTCAACATCAGGGACACTGAAGTTAAAATTCTCAGCCTGAATGAACCCTTTTAGTTCTGACGTAGTACAGGCTTCTGAAGTGAGTAGTCTACCTTCTGTAACATCCATACAACATCTAGAGGAGTCCTGAAAAATTAAACTGACTGAGAAGTTTACACATGCAAGTGCACGCACACACTAAAATAGATTCGTATTTGAAATAGTTTAAAATATTTTAGTCTTAGTCTTTATTATTAAGTTAAGACATAAACCACATAGACTTATTCCAATATTGTGTTTCTTAAAGTCTTTAGGAAAACATGTGTATGTAATGGATTTGAAGGAAAACTAAATCTAATAGCTACATTTATCTCAAGGGCTCTGGGCTACCACTATATAAATTCAACACCTTTCTTTATGGATAAATATAAAAGATATCTTATCAAGAAATATAAACTACAATTTCATTAAATGCTTTCATTCTTTATATTAAGTGATTTTATCTGGAACTGTACTTATCTTTTAAAATATACTTGAAAATTGTCTAATTTAGCTAAGTAGTGATTCCATTTCAAATGCATATACAATTTCAAAATGTACCTCATTTCAAATTGTATCTGCCATCATTCAAAGGAGAGAGACTCTCTAAAAATACAGAGTTGGCTCAGTAACTCTGCTGAGTAATTTAATTAGACAGATCTAGAACAGAAGAATATAAACTCAACTGATTCCAGGACACTAGCCTTGACAGCGCCCCAGAGGGTTCTGTGTGCCGGCTTTTTTCCTTATGATTCACACACACTCTCATCTTGTAACCTCAGCACTTTGGAGAAGGCTATTAGCCTCAGCGGCCTGACTCATCTGAAGCACTTGTCTGCCAAAGTGAAAAACGCAAATACAGTACGTGAAATAATCAAGGTGCTTGAATTTCTGAGCATACATTCATTTTTCTTTCAAACACCACATGTGACTTTCCTTCACAAGTCCTTCCCCAAACCTGCACACATTTCTCTTCCTGAGCTCCGCTTCCTTCTGCACTTCAGCAAACCGCCTGCCCTGTGTCCACTTTCTCAGAGGCGCCATTCCCTTGAAATCTGGGTTCTGCCTCTTTCCATGAACACCTATCTGTTCAGACATAAGAACGCCTGCTCAGGTCCAGAGTGCTGAGTTCCCGTACTACCAGGTCTCATGACTACAACCCCAGCGACCTGGAAGGTGAAGCAGGAGGATCGTAACGTCAAAGCCAGCCTGGGCAGCGTAGCAAATCAGTACCTCAGAGTAAAGAAATGAAAGAGAGCCCGACTCAGTGGAAGAACGCTTCCTTACCATTCATGAGGCCACGGGTTCAATCTCCATTCTCACACACACAAAAATTAAAGAATAAAAACAAATTACTATAAACGCAACTCTATCCCTTTCTCTGCTTTACTGTTCCCAGTGTACTCATTAACACCTGACATTTCTGACTCCCATATTCCCTCCCACCCCAAACCCCTTAAAATATAAGTTCTTTGAAGGTCTCAGGTTTTGTGTGTTGTGCTCATTACTGTGTCCTCAGTGTCTAGAACATGCATCCCCAGTGAGGGGAATACTGCCTCCAACGGGGAGGTTCTTTGAGGGCAGGGTCAAAAAATACATTACTCTTTTAAGTATCAGGCATAGATATACACATACATAGTATGTAAAATTTATGTTTCCATGAGAGAACAGCTTCCGGGAAATGCTCCTGAGGAGGCGATAATTTTTTAAATGGTTGAGAAATACTAGTGTGTTTTAGAGGAATGCTTGGCACATAACAGAAGCTCAGTAGTTGAATTTTACTAAAATTTACTGAACACATTAGTTAACATTGACTGCTTAACACGTTAGGTACTATTCACATACTTACAAAGGTAAAATAAAATACATTCAAAGACTTTAGCACAGTATCTGACAAAAACAACAAAACTGCATAAACTGTAACTTTTTACCTAATAGAAGCTAGATAGAACACAACACCTCTTAGTGATCACTGAATCCTTGTTTAGCAGACTGGAGTTAAATAAACATAAGACTGGAAGAGTATAATGAGTGAAACATTTAGCAATTTAACCCTTCATTAAGAAAAGAGTTATCTTTAATCTGAATGTCCCTGAGAGAGAAAAGGTAATTTATTAAGCCTAAAATGACCTTTAGAAAAGGAAACTTCCTATTTCCCTTTAGTAATAGTGTCAGTTATTGAACCATTGCTGAAAGCACAGATTCTTTCTGCTTTCATCCCCTAAGCTACACACTGTGCTGTCTTAAGACAATGAAAGAAAGGCTGTCCACAGTTAAGAGTTTAATGATGGATCACTATATATAACCATACTAACAAGCGTCACAACATGCAGCAGAGGACACTGGCAAACAGCAACAAATAAACTACTCTCCCACTCCAGCTAGGACTCTTAAGTTGAAGATATTAGAAGAAAAAGAAAAACTAGGTGTCATAAATCAACCAAAGTCATTTAGCTGTTCAGAACCTTAACTTCATATTGTAAGAGGAGATAAAAATACCTGTCCTACTTATTTCACTGGGCAGTCATAAAAACCAAGTGCAAATCAAGAGAAAATGTTGTCTAAAGTGTAATATAACTTCTGAAAGGACAGAATGAAATAGCTTGCAACCAACAACGGTGCTAAAATGTAGAAATGAATTTAGTGTTAATATGCTTAAGATTTAAAAGCGAAACTGCATGTATGGGACTAAGAAACCAAATCTATCTTCTCAGGAAGACTTTCTGCATTTAATGTCATTTCTCCTAAACACACTGCATGTTCCTGTCAGGATATTCACCTTTAATTCACAGCTATCACTGCTTGCTAATGTTTTCAAAAAAGGTTTATGTCTTCTAGTTTGGT